CTCTATAATAGTCTAACAAAACTTTAAAAGTGTATTATTGTTGTTAGTCTTGGTGGTGGGTGTGTGTATATATGCAAATGTGCAGAGATGGAAGGAGGATGTGTGTGTCTTGTCTGTCTCTCTCTGCCTTGATCCTTTGAGATAAGTGAGCCAGCTCACTGAGCCTGGGCCTAGACTACCACACACATGCGCACATGGCCATACTGAGCTTTTTACATGGATACTGGCGTCCCAGCTCAGGTCCTCATTCTGATGCAGCAAACACTTATCCCGTGAGTCATCTCTGTAGCACTTTTCAAAAGTGTGACTCATGGGGGGGCCTGTGGCACACACCTTGATCCCTCAATCAGGAGGCAGAGGCAGGTGGAGCTCTGTGAGTTCAAGGCCAGCCTGGCCTCCAGAGAGAATTTCAGGACATCTAGGGGCTACACAGAGAAAATATGTCCCAAAACAAACAAACAAAAAAAGAGAAGTGATTCCTCCATGTTCATGTACCAGGAATCCTTTTGTCAGAAGCAGATGCATGAGGGCCCTGTTGCTCTAGTGAGAGAAAATCTGAAACAGGCCCCTGGCTGGCCTGGATTTCAGAGGCTTATGAGCTGAGCTTTTGAAAGTAGTGCATGTAGATCTAGGCTCCGAAATCCTCAGTCAGACCCTACTGGTCTGCACTTCCAAAGCCAGAGATTTGTGGCTCTAGACGTTGAGAAGCAGGGGCTTACAGCCCTAGCCTTTCAGCCCTGGGTGCTCAAGTCAGATGCCATTGTTGTAGGTTCAGAGTGTCAAATAGCTCAACACTGGGCAGTCTTAACAGCTCTGGACTCTGCAATCTGTTCTCCTAGCCCATGGCCCTGGGCAACTCACTAAGTTGCTGCAGCCTCCTTTAAGCTGCATGCTGAGCTGAAGGCTTATGGCATTGGGAGGCTTGAGGACTCACAACTTCAAGAGCCACCCTCTAGTTACCTGCTGGCTGCAACTGAATGCCTAAAGCCATGCCCAGAGGTTCATCTGGTGTTCGACTGGATGCCTAGAGCCACACCCAGAGGTTCACCATAGTGTTGTCTGCTCCTGTCACTGGGCACCAAAAAGCCGTTTAGAAGAGGCTTTTATTGAGACCTAGGGTTACAGCTCGAAAGGAGCAGTCAGTGTATGGGAGGGACACTTCTCTGACTGACCTGAGAAGACTGAAACCAACTGCTTCTGTAGCCAGAAGAGGGAGGAACTGGCTTGTGCACAGCTCCTGGATCCGCCAGTCACAAGTCTTACATTTGTATTATGCATTGAGTTTTTAGGAAGATTGTATGAGATGGGGCCAGGGAAACAGGTATGGCAGCCACCTGTAATCCCAGTACTATGGATAGAGGCAGGAGGGCCTCAGGGCAGGCTGCCGGAGAGACTAGCAGATGGTGAGCATGGGTGCCATTTAAAGGCCCTGCCTCTATAAATTAAGTGGAGAGGTACCAGTAAAGACACCCACCATCACCCTCAAGCCGCCACATGAACATGCATCTTTGCACCTTCATACCGCACACACACGTGAACATACACACATGCATGCACGCTACACACATATAATATGTACACCAAAAGACAAAATAGATTCTGCATAAAATGGCTGAAGTAAAGGAAAGCTAAAATGTTGCAGACCAGTACCAAATTATCTGGGGCTAATTTTAGTCCCTTTGAAAACCATTCATTGGGCACCCATGTGTCTGACCTAATATTCTTGTGACTGTCAAAACCTTTACCATGCATTCTTGGCAAACCACTAGCTTTCACCAACCCAGAAGCTAAGAATGTTGTTAGATAATATATAAAATATACAGCAGAATTTGCCTTGCCTTGCTGTGCCCACTTACCTGAGTCCCCCAGTATATTTGGTTAGCACCTTGATATGTGACTTTCTTTGCTCTGGAGCTGATCAAACACTGTGTAACCACTTGTCCAATGGAACAAGGTGTTTGGGGCAGCCTCTGCTGCTGGGCCACAGTCATATTTGACTCCAAAATAAACACTCTTTGAGCTATGCCGATGAGGGCATCACACTATATGCCATGTACGCACTAATGACAAGTTTAACGTTGAGTCACTGGAAAGGTCCTTCCCTCCCTCCTGTCCTGAGTGACCCAGGGTGAGTTTGTCTATAGCTGAAGCTGTTGTGGCTTTAGTGGCATTGGTGGCCATGGTGTCCCTTGCAACTGGAATGAAGTGTTCTTGAAGTGACTGGGGTGTTATTTGAGTGACCTACCTGTCATGGTGACAGTCTAGTTGGTAGCCCTCTAGGGGGCTGTTCTATTGACAGCACCCTTCTTAAGGCAACTGAATACAAATGAAGGGTCTGTCAGGTATCAGTAAGGGATGAATTGACTGTTGCCTATAGCTTTGTTCATTTAAACATTGAATGTTGCTTATGATAAAGGCCTAACTTGAAATGAACTTTCTCAATAGTATTTCCACACCTATCCAATGGCCCTTATGGGAGAGTGGGTCCCCCTGATCTGTGTATCTGTATGTAAAGTTACAAAAAGAAATGAAAGCAAAAATAAACAACTGAAGATAAAGATAGAAACTTTTGTTCCTGGCTCCCGCTCTTTGGCCTTTCCTCCAAACACCCACAATAAGTTCATCCTTTGCAGAGGTCAAGGTTCTTAGGTGTCAGTGACAGCCTGGTCAGTGTCACCAAGGGCTTAGAGATAGACCCCAGGGTGTGGGCCTTCCCGGGAAGGGACAGTTTTTATTGTCTTTAAAAATGAGCCTTACGGGAGGATCTGTGTGACCTCAAGGCCAGCCCGATCTACATAGTGAGAGCTCCAGGGCAGGAAGGGCTGTGTAGAAAGACTCTGCCTTGGAAACACGAAAGAAGGAGAAAGGAAGGAAGGAAGGAAGGAAAGAGAGCGAGCCTTACATCGGTGCATACATTACCCAAGTTCTTCTGTGAGCCCTTCCTAACTCCTCTCTATTAGCTTAGAAGATTAGGTGGCAAAAGAATTGGGATTCTTCATGAAAGATTTTAAAGAATCATAATTACCTGTCTGAGCATCAGAGTCAAGAGTGGGAAGCTGCCCTAACTGTCCATACTAGGGTGTCTTTGAAGACAAACTCACCTGATGGATCAGTAGCTCCTTGGTGGAATGATGGTTTACCATGTAAAAGGCCCTGTGAAAGATCCGGACATAGTGAGGAAAGGAGAGAAGGAAAGAGGAGAGGAGGACTAGTCGGTTTGGTTTTTCAAGACAGTTTCTCTATGTAGTTTTGAAGACCAGGCTGGCCTCAAGCTCACAGAGATTCACCTGCCTCTGCTTCCCGAGTGTTGGGATTACAGGCATGTGCCACCACACCCAGTTAAGGCATTTTTAAAATTAGTGATTGATGGGGAGGGCCCAGCCTATTGTGGATGGTGCTGCCCCTGGGCTGGTGATCCTGGATTTTAGAAGAAACCAGGCTGAGCAAGCCATGGAGAGCAAGCCAGTAAGCAGCATCCTTACATGGTGTCAGCTCCTGCCTCCAGGTTCCGGCCCTGTTTGAGTTCCTGTCCTGACTTTTGGTGATGAACAGTGCTGTGGAAGCTGAATGAACCCATTCCTTTCCAATTTGTTTTTTTTTTTTTTTTTGGTCATAGCATTTTGTCACAGTAATAGTAACCCTAAGACAGACAGAAGGAGAGGGAAGATAGATAGAATAAATGAGAGAATAGTAGACTATCCTTTTCAAAATTAAAATTCTGTAATTTTGAGACATACTTACATAGCCCAGGCTGCCTTCAAACACTGTATATGGCCAAGGATGGTCTTAAATTTATGATTCTCCTGCCTACCTCCAGAATGCTAGGATTATAATTATGTGCCATCATATGGTTGGGGGGAAGGTATAGAAGGAAATGCTAGGCAAGCACTGTACCAATTGAGCTATATCTAAACCCAGAGTCTGTGAAATTTGAATACTCGGTACATCATAATTTGCTGTCTCTTAACTGTTCCCAAGTGTATGGAAACCAGGGATGGACATGTGTTGCTGTTTTATCACTTTTTTGTAGACTCTCCATACATACTCAGGCTGGCCAAGAACATACTTATGGTCCTCTTGCCTCCACTCCCAAATGCTGGGATTGCAGTCTTGTGCCACCATCCCAGCTAGAGCTTTTATTTTAGAAACTGCAATAAAAAGCAATTTCTCTCTTCCTGACTGACTGCTATAGCTTAGTCGTTTTGCTTGTTGGGTTTAAACAAGTCATAAGTACAGTCATTGATGATTCCAGAAACTCTGGCTGTTGGAGTAATTCTCACCAACATTCATATAACCTTCTATTTAAGAACTGTCATATTGTGCCAGGAGTGGTGGCACAAGCCTGTAATTCCAGCAATTGGGGAGGCAGAGGCAGGTGAATCTACAGAGTGAGTTTGAGGCCAGCCTGGTCTACAGAGTGAGTCCAGGACTACACAGAGAAACCCTATCTCAAAAAATCAAAAACAAAACAAACCTGTCATGTTCCAAAAATTTCATTGTTTTTAAATTAAAGTAGCTAGAAAGCCCTTTTAAAAACTAAAATATTTTACTATTAACATTGAAAATCATAAATATTTGTCAACATGTAAAATTTAATATGAAAAAAAAAATCACCTACCAATTGAAGAATTAGGTTAGTGGGTGTGGTGCCTCACACCTGCAATCCAAGTATTTAGAATGGAGGCAGAGGATCTCCATGAGTTCTAGGCCAGCCTATACTGTGATATACTGAGCTATACTGTGAATTCCAGGCCAACTTTAAACTATAGCATGAGGTCCTGTCTCAAAAACAAATTAAAAAAAAAAAAGACAAGAATTCAGGCCTTTGAGGGCAAATATTTATCTAAGCAGGATAAACGGAGTGAGAGTGCACTGCAGTTTCACGGAAAGCTTCACCAGAACAAAAGCGGCATTAGCCGTTCTCTCATACTACAGGGAGTAACTAACTGCGTGGCTCTCCGGCCGTTGTTATCTAATGTCCTGTTCTTCTCTCTCCCTAGGTGAACCTGCCAAACCTTTTACGCCAGAGAAAGCAAAAGAAATTATAATGTCTCTACAGCAGCCTGCAGTCTTCTGTAACATGGTTTTTGATTGGCCTGCACGACACTGGACAGTGACACACCTCTCTGAGGTCTTGCAGGGCAAGCAGATACGATTCAGAATGGGCCGGAGAAGCACAGACACGGGTAGGCAATCAGCACCCAGTCCTTCCTCAGTAGGACCCCCATACTGTCAGCCATGCTCACCCCGTCTCCAGGCAGTCCTCTATGTCTGATGTTCTTTGACCACTCACCGTACAGATAGGAAAATGTTACAAGAAAAAGTGGAAAGATAGTTTGACCTCGTGCAGGTTTTCCCCTCCGTGTTCAAACAGTTGGTTTAAACACCCACACAAAATGCAAATCTGTCTATTCATGTATTCAACCTGTTGCTAGACATTATTGTGGCTGATTGAGCAGGGCCGACAATAAATATGTTAATGTGCTACTACTTGTACCCCATTCCACTGAAAAGTAGCAATGCTATAATAATACAGAAATACAATGTAACAATGTAGTAATATTCAAGAATACATTGTCATCACCCTCCCACTTGTGATTTGTGTTGTTGTTTTGCTTTCCTTAGCATTAACAGATGACTGCTTGTTGCCATTTCTTTCCAGATAATTTTGAAAATTTTGATATTTTTGTCCTTTTATCAGAGTGATTGTCATTCTCGCTGAAATGTTGTTTTAAAGGACAGACATGGTTTGTTTCTAATCTAAAGATGTCTCTAGCAGTGGTCTGGTCTTTAGCTTGCATTTCAGTATGAATAACTGGTTCTGTAGAAACTCAGTGCATTGCAGAAAAGTAGTTTGTGCAGACCTATTAATAGCCTAAGAGGACAAGAACATTTCCCAGTTTCCCTTACAGCAGCTCCAAGCTCTTTTCTCTCATCGTGACCTTGTAGGATATATCCTGCAATTTGCTTCTGGTGTCTAGAGCCATTTTGGACTCCCGAAACAGACAGACAACAGAATTACTATAGTTTGGCATCTCATTCTAACCACAGATTTGATTGTTCAGTTATTTTGAAATGAAATGCTAGACCAGTGCAATAACTTAAAATCAGATTACATGTTTTTCCCTTTTGAATTCATGAAACAAATCTATCACTGAAGTGTCTATTACTAACTTGAAGAGAAATACAAATTTTGGTATCTTCACATCCTGCTTAGTCGCCACTGCCACAGCACCACTGGTAACTTAGAGTTCGTTTCTTGAGAGTGATTCACCTGAATTCTCTGCCCTAATCTGCTTACCTCCCTCATAGGCTGGAAAGACTGTTTTTGCAGATGAGTCACAGTAATTTGACATCTTCAGGTTGATACTTAAGTCTAAAAGGAGTTTTTACAAAGTCTCTGCAGTTTTAAGAAACCACTCTTTGAATTTTAGTAAAGGTAGCTTAGTCTTTTTTTTTTTTTTTTTAATAACTAAAATAAAATTCTCATAGCATAAAGTGTAGCATTTAGCCATTTGAAACTATCTAATCCAACAGCGGTTAATGTTTTCACAGGCTGTACAGCCCACTTTCTTATTTTAGAATGTGTTCATTATCCCATGATGAGACCAGTACCCCAGCAACACCAGCCTACTTCTAAATGGGTCTAAATGTACCCATTCAAGATGTCATCGTAACAGAGGCACAGAAGAGTTGGTTCCTGCATCTGGTTTATTGCAGAGAGCCTGTTTTCAAGGCTCATCCGTATAGAAATATAAATTTAACTTCTCTAATCTGAAATGCTTCAGAGTCTGAGTTTTCAAGCACCAGCACAATGCTACCGCTGGGTAATTCCATACCTGATCCGCCAAGGCAAAATGTATAACCTTTAGCCTAAAACCATATAATAATTCCATGTTTAGCCTATGTTAGTCTAAGGAAAATAATGGAGTAGAAGTGAATTTCATAGTAGCCTTGGGTTCAATCGACAAAATAGCTCATTCTGTGTATGCAACTATTCCAAAATCCAGAAAAATAAGAAATAAAAAGTAAGGCACTCTGATCCCAGGCTTTTCAGGTAAGGCTTCTCTGCTGGTGTGTATCAGCACTTCATTTATCTTTATTACCACATGGCATTCTGTGGGTGTGAATGTGTGCATCCTGTTTTCTCACAAGCAGCATGGAAATGCAAGGGGTTTTTCTGCATTTCTTTACTATTGCGGTAACACTCCCATGGACATTTGGCTACAGATTTTGTAGTAGAGCTGTGTTTTCATTCCACGTGACTATCTAGAGTTGGCGGGAGAATAGCTGAGTCGGCAGTGTGCTTCTTAACCTTTTGAGGAATTGTTTTACAGATGGTCATACCATTTTACATTCCTGCCAGCTATGTGGGAAGGTCCCAGTTTTCTAGCTCCTTGCCAGCACTTCCCCACCTCCTGACTACCCCCTCCGGTCTCTTCTCTCTTGCAGCCATGTTGGTTCGCATGAGGACGTACTCCATTCCTGGTTCTGATTGGCCTTGTTCTGTCAGGCGTCTTGTTGTGGTTGTGTTAGCCAGTTGCAGTGTGTGTCCGAACCTTTTGCTTGTTTTCTGATGGAGGCTTTAGTTGTTGAGTTGAAAGAGTTCTGTATATATTCTAGAGAACAGGCCCCTATGAGATGCATAACTTGCAAAGGTTTTCTCCATTGAGTGGATTATCCTAACACTTTGTTCCTTTAAAAAAAATTTGGGGGGGTGATGTCATGGCTCGGTAGTAAAGCATTGCCACCAAGTCTGACCCCTGAGTTCTATCCCTGGGAATGCACTGGCGAAAGGAAAGACGTTGCCCTCTGACCTCCACGTATACGTGTAAGTATACACACACACACACACACACACACACACACACACACACAATATAATTTTTTTTTAAAAAACATGTCTCCTGAGTGTATGTGTTCCCACAGACAGCATAGGATTATGGCATAAAAGAGCTGTTCAAACTTTGGCTTACTGTGTGGCCTTGGGCAGGTCGATTAGCTTTTCCTTTTATCTTAGAAATGTTTTCAAAACTACATGATTTCAGCAGGTGTAGTGGTACACGCCTTTACTCCCAGCAGTTAGGAGGGAGAACCCTGTGAATTCAAGGCCATCCAGAGCTACAGTGTGAGACCCTGTTTCAGAAAAAGAAATAATTTCATATGCACAAAGCAGTTAGAATAGTGCCTACATAGTAAATATTCAACAAATATCTGTTAACATAGAAATAATTTTAAAATGAAAGTATGGCTTCTTCAGTGTAAAAAATATATATATAATAATAATTGCAAAAGGCAGAAAGACCACAGAAATTTAAAGATACTTTGTTTTGTTGTTGCTGTTGTTTGTTTGAAACAGGGTTTCTCTGTGTACCCTTGGCTGTCCTGGACTCATTTTGTAGACCAGGCTGGCCTCGAACTCACAGAGATCCACCTGCCTCTGCCTTCAGAGTGCTGGGATTAAAAGTGTGTGCCACCATGCCTGGCAAATGTGTAGCACAAGCTAGCCTTGAACATAGTCCTCCTGCCTCCAACCTCCTTCAGCAAATCCTACAGGTGTGTGCTTGTATTTTTTTAAATAAGCTTTTGTTTATTTTATTTGTATGGGTGTTTTGCCTTTATTTATATCTGTATACCACATGTGTGCCTGGTGTCCATGGGGACCAGAAAAGGACATCAGATCCCTAGAACTGGAGTTACAAAGCCTTGTGAGCTGCTGGGAATCATACCTACTTCCTCTGGAAGAGCAGAGCGCTCTTAACCACTGAGCACCTCTCCATCCTGACCTAAACAGGTTATTTAACAGGTTATGTCTAAAAATTAAGGTTGTATTGATTTTCACAAGCTGGTTTTTTTTTTCCTATTAGCATATTCAGAGGAACAACTCCTGACAGTAAATGTGACTTTGAAATGGCTCCTTAACATTCCATTTTGTGGCAATATCATAATCTATTTAAGATGTTCCTAAGAAAGCTAGATGTGTTCCACTCCTGTGTTAGGCCTAGGTTCAGTCAGTACCTAACAGGGGAAGGTGAGCTGCTTCTAAGTTGCTTACAAGTTTTAAATGTATAATTTTGTCCAGCTGTCTCTGATTATTCCCCTAGGATAGATTCCTAGAACAAGGTCACTGGGTCCAAGGGTGTGTGTATTATCAGCAGCAGCACTCACTGGGAAGCTTCTTGCACCAGAGACGTGAGTCACGCTGGAGTCTTGTGACTTACATGCTAAATATCTGGCAACTACCTGCTGCTCTGTCTGGTGGCCGCCCTCTGGTTGGCTTCACCCTTCAGCGTCACTCCCACAATTGCAGTCACTGTGTTCATGGTCAAAGTTACTCCTCTCATCCCCTGTCCTCACCTCCCAGATCATTCCTGAAGAAAATCTCCTCCCTCTGAGGTCTTTCTTCAAGGGCCTTATCTCATCCTGGGTTCAGCATCAGCTGGACATTCTTCCATTAGTGGAGTGTCAGAATGGAAGGCTTTTGAAGTGTAGGTGATAGATGTGCAAAGAGATGGCATCCAAGTCTGTGCCTGTCAAAACCAAACAAATTTATCTTTGAAAAAACATCTGGTAGGTGAAAGGGTATCTAATGATTGTAATTAGCATTTTCGCTGGTGGTTTTGAATATTTATCAGTAGTTCCTGCTTCTTCCCGATAATGGTCCTTCAGGGGTTTGTTTTTGTTTTATTTACTTTGTTTGTTGTTGTTGTTTTTCAGACAGGTTTTTTGGTTTTTTGTTTGTTTTTCTGTGTAACAGCCCTGGCTGTCCTGGAACTTACTCTTCAGGCCAGGATGGCCTTGCACTCACAAGAGATCTACTGCCTCTGCCTCCTGAGTGCTTGGTTAAAGGCATGCACCGTTCCCTTTCCCCCACCCCCGCATGCTTTTTTATTTTTTTATTTTTCTTTACTTCTTAAGACAATTCTTTATATTATGGCTATTTCTTCATTTATTGTTTGCATTTGTTTTGCTATACATGCGTGTTTTTATAATCAAATCAGCTAGTGCTCTACAGACATTTATTCTCATTTGTTTCATTTTAGAAATTTCTTCTCTTAAAATAGACTGCTCTAATACTTTCCTCTAACAGCTTACTGGCGGCGTTTGCTGCAGTTTTTTCAATAATGAAGTGCAGCTCCAAATGACTTACTCAGTCATCGCTCCAGAGATGCTGGCTTTGGCAGCA